CAAAATCAGATCTTATAATATCTGGAACAGAGCAAGTGCTGTGGTTGGTTCAGTACTTCCTTAACATCCCCACATTGATTGGCAGCGGCTACGAACCCCTGTCACACACCAGAAGGCCGTTGGTCTTTAGCCTCAGAAGCCCAGTGTGATATCCTGGACTGGTCAGAATTTAAGTGACATTGGACAAATCATTTAACTCTCAGCGACTTTTATTCGTTTCTTAATTTGCAAAAGAAGGACCTAATACCATTGTTAGCTAAGAAGTATACTGTGTTATATACATCTTACTGATGTTTTATATTTGTTAGAAGAATATGATTGTTTAATTATGTATGCCCTTCTTTTAGACCTGTTTACTATCCTGAAGGTCGTGTGAAATATCCACTGTAAAAATTCTCCTTTCTTTCTTGACAGCATAGTTTAGGCCTCCATCCCCTTGTGCTAGGACTCTTGCTTAGACCTTCCAACTGATTTCCCCACCTGCAGAATCTTAGCCCCTTTCATGCACTTTGCATACTGTTGCTTGGGTACAACAATGACCTTATCACTTTCCTACTCAGAAACTGTCATGGATCCTACAGATCACTCACTTTACTTCCTATCTCCAAACTCATGCACATACTTTGTCATTTGCCCAGAAAGCCTCTCCGCTCTCCTTCTGTGCCTCTTTAAACCTGAACATCCTTGAAGGCTCCGCTTAAGTGCCGACTCTTCCTGGAATCAGACCTTTTTCTGATCTCATAAGCCAATGGGATCTATTACTCCTCTGAACTTTCCTAACACATTCTTTGCATTTCTCCTATGAGATTTAACACGTTCAGCATTGCGTTAGATATTCAAGTCTATTTTAATATTCCACTTAGGTTGTAAACCTTTTGGAGGCAGAGACAGTATATGCCTTTTTATTATCTCAAGTTTAAGGCAAATACTGTATGTGAGAGTCAGTGTGGCGTGATAGGAAAAGCACAGGTGTCAAGGTTAGACATCTTTAAATTTTAACCCTGACTCTTTCTTTTTTGTCCTTCTGTAATCGAGGGCAAGTTATTTAATCTCATTCTAAAGCTTAGTTCTCCTCATCCCGAAAATGCACTTTCCTAAGGAGGTTGTTTTGAGGATTAAATAATTAGGTACAGCAAAACATGGCTTCATAGGGACTCAGAAAAGCCTGCTCATGTCCACCTCTTGAGTTCTTCATTACTTGTCGAAAGCTCCTTCTGTTCTTCAGATTGGAGGCACTGAGAATGCCCGCCCCAGCAGGGACACCCTACTGTGTGAGCTTTCTCTTTGGCATCACAGTGTCACTAAGTCAGAATGCATCCCAATAAGCTGACTTCCGTGTGATTTCGTACACACAGGCAGTAGCCGGGGGATGTTTCTTCACAGGTCTGTTTCGAAGAAGGCAGAGTTTGAGTCTGTGAATGACCAGGATTATTTAACGCAGATTGTGAAACCCAGTCTCATTTCAGAAACTTAGTGATTTTTTAAAATTCACGACACACATAAACCAGTTTGCCAAGCTCTAAAGTTACTCACTTGAAGTCCAGTAGACACTTTGGAAGGTTATCACCCCACTGCCAGGCCACCTGGTGCCATTTGCCACGTAACAGTTACAGCGTAGTAAGTGGTTCACAGGAAGTAAATATACGTGCAAGTTAAGGAATATTTACGTGGGCTTAATTATGTTTCAAATCTGTCTGAGAGGCAGGCACACCTTATTTACACGTGTTTTTCTTCCTTCACCTATTCTGGCTCCCTTGACATTTTAAAAAGGTAATCAAGGCAAAAGATCTTTTTCAAGGGTAGGTAACACAGTAGATAAAGTGTGTTGTGTAAGTGCAGCTGGGTGTTCACCACCAGGTAGGAGGCCCCAGACTTCTCCTCTTGGTCCAGCCAAGTCCCTCACACCCACATTTTGCTTTGTCTTTCTCTCCTTCCAAGAGCAAAGGAGTGAGGACCATGCAGTTTCCTCTGTGATCAGTATTGAAGCAGCTTCTCCACCCAGCTGAGGCCTCAACTCCATTCTAAAGTTTGTGTAGAACATCTGAATCCAGAGCTTTGACACTGATCAGCCCTATTACTTTTCTTTAGCTAATGAGAGGTGTGAATCTCTAAGCTTCAGGAAGTCACAAAGCATTCCTCAGTGCCTATGATATGTCAGGCTGGTGAAAGTGGCGCTGAGTGATCTGCCTGGGCCCACATTTGAGTAATCTTCTCCGGCCCCTCCTCCATGGCCAATTTCATACATAAAATGTGATGAAATAAAAGGAGAAATTATGCAAATAAATTTAATATAAAAAGCAAATTAGGGAATGACTAGCAAAATTATTAATCAGAACTCTGTTTATACTTACTGTCAAGCGTCACCATTTGTTCTTGAACTAAAGGCCCTTCCTCCATGAAAGCCTGTCATTGAGAGATGGGTTTGAATTTCAGAAAGTAGATGTGAATTTCAGAGTTTTCCATTTCTTAGCCGTCACTGAGATTAAGGTTTATTCCTTGCTATTAATCAAGCAACTAAGCATTTATTCTTAGAAATTGTTGTATTCCCTCATACCTTTGCTTGACTCTATGGTTCCATTACAGCACCACAATTCACCCATTTCCCAAGCAATAATCCTGGGAATCATCCCTCTTTCTCCCTTTTCCATTATTACGACAGTCGCTATCAACAGGTGTGCTTGATTCTAACCTCTGAGTTTAGACCCCATCCCCACCTTACCTTATTTAAATGGCCTCAGCTGCCTCTCTGGTTTACTGAATATATTCTTCAACTGCCACCCCCTGCCTCCCAAAGCTATCTTCACAACAGAGTGACCTTTCTAGGTTATACATGCGAATTTGATGATAGCATTCCCACACTTTGCTGGTTCTCCTTTGACTAATGAATAAAATTTAATGCAGCAACCAATTGCATTTGACCGATGTTTACCGACTGCCTCCTGGGGTTAGGGATTATATTAGATGCTGGCAATATAACCCCAGCAATTCTCAACTACAGTGGAGTGTGATTAGTGCTTTAATAGCTTATAAACTTGGGAATCTGCTGGATTCAAACTTATGTTCCTTAAAAAAGCCTATCAGATCCTTCAGGACCTGACTGTAACCAGCCCCTCTTTTCCTCGAGTATTGTGCATGATATCACCATGCCAAGCTATCAGAAATTCAGTAAACATTTTATGTTCTCTTACCTGCACCTAGAAACCCTCCATCCTTCTCAGTTGCATTTGTCTGTTTCACATTCTGACCAGGCATCATATTTTCTGAGGCCCTTTTACTCTCTTGAACCTCTCATCCCCAAGCTGGGTTAAATACCCACTTCTGTGCAGCCATATCAATTTAGGAATGCAGATGGTGTCCAAAATAAGATGGTTCAACTTTTGAGTCTTCAACTTCATGATGATGTGAAAGCGATTTGCAAACCGTAGACGCTGTGCTTCAAATAGCCATACAACCATTTTTATTTTCACTTTCAGTGTAGTGCTCGATAAATTACATGAGCTATTAAGCATTTTATTATAAAATAGGCTTTGTGTTAGATGATCTTGCCCAACTATAGGCTAATGTGTTATGACTTATGTTTAAGGTAGGCCAGGCCATGTTATGATGTCCAGTAGTTTAAGTGTATTAAATGCATTTTCAACTGGCCATATTTTCAGCTTACGATAGGTTTGTGGGAACATTACCCCATTGTAAGTTGGGGAGCCTCTGTAACTCTATCAAAGGACTTCTCAGACCCTCTTTAAATTAATCCGTCAGGCTTTCCCCTCTGTTTAAGGGTAGGCACCACATCTTTCATCTAAGTGCCTTCCTCACCCAGCATGGTTCTTGGCAATAGCAGGCTCTCAGTAATCGTTTGTTGAATGAATGAAAGTTCCTGGTTCACGATGTTCTTAACTATGGCTTTTTTCTGATGCATATTAACCTGTAATGTATTTATTTGTTTATATATCCACGTGTATGGGCTCAACTCTCAAACCAGTGCCTCAGTACAGTATTTATTGTTCCTGCTTTTGCATACTCTTTCAAAAGAGATCATGTGCATGATACAGTCACACTACTAATTTTACAGAGTTGTATTATAAGATTAGTAGGTGCTATTTATTTAATCAAAAATACTTATTAAGCTACTGTAAACAAGGTATCTAAAGACTCAAGGACCTTTAGATCCCTTGAAGTACAGGGAATCAATCTCACATAAGGGTCATCTCTGAAAATCACATATAATTAAAATTAAATCAGAGGTCGGCAAATTCTTTTATAAAGGGCCAGATAATAAATATTTTTGGCTTTGTGGGCCATACGGTCTCCATTGCAGCTACTAGTCTCTGATGGGATAGTGTGGCAGCAGTCATAGACAATATGTAAGTGAATAGGTACGCCTATGTTCCAGTAAAACTTTATTTACAAGAACTACGGCTCAGGGCTATAGTTTGAGGACTCTGCCTTAAATTCCAAGATTGGATAAATACTAAGATGTACACAAAGTGTGGAGGTGATTTGAAGTAAAGAGAAATCACACATTTCACATCGCAAGAAATTGAGAATGAGTGGGCTAGAAAGATGAATTTTTTTTTCACCAAAGTTCGGAACAGTATTCCAAAATGCAGATGAGTAGGTCCTATCAGGATCAGACAAAATTAGAAAGGCCTAGGGAATGTTTTGGTTAGTCATTCAAGAAAAGTTTAAGACCAAAACACGGAGAGGTATTTTTATTAAAAGCATTCAGGAATCTTGCAACCTTAGTGACAATTTACTGTTACATAAAGAGAAAAGATAAAAGGTATGTTAGAAAAACCATGCCTTTCTGGTGTAGACTATTTTTATTGTCAGCATTCCTTTGAAGACAGAGTTGATTATTGATTATTTTGGATAAACTTACCATTTAAATGCAAAAAAATGTGCTAAATGCAACACTGAAATATGCTCTCATTGATCTTTTATTCACAGAACTTAACTGATTTGTTTTTGTTTTTGTTTTGTTTTGTTTTTTTTAATTCTAGCACCAATAGCTGCAGGAACTGGCCCAAATTTTTCTCTCTCAGATTTGGAAAGTTCTTCATACTACAGCATGAGTCCAGGAGCAATGAGGAGGTCTTTACCCAGCACGTCCTCTACGAGGTAATTTGATTGGCGGCTCTTAAAGAGGTTATGCTGCATAGTTGCACACCTTGATTTTAACTCTGGGCCTGCTAGGCATTTAGCAATGTGCCTCTAGTGATAGAAGATACCAAAATAGCGGATTCAGCCCCGAAAGACTGGGGAGATAGAGCAAATGCACATGTAGCAGGAAAAAATACACCCTCCCCACACACATATATACACACACACGTACACACCAGACAATAAAAAATGGTGGCTAAATTATGTGACATGGGCTAAAAATAGTTAAAGAAGGCTTTATCCGAAAAGAGTACCTTGTGCTCAGCTCTAAATGTTAGTTAGAGTTGGCACGATGAAAAGGAAAAGGGAATGGAATTCTGGGTGGGGTGAGAACATAAGCAAAGGCATGAAGGAAGGATGGATGATGAACCCACATGTTTCAGGAAATGGAGGACAGGCTTGACTAGAGAAAAGGGCATGTGTTCTGGCTTGTTTGGCAGGAAGCAGACACTGATGACACTAGTCCAGTCCCCATGCTCACAGCAGAACTTATAGCTTAGTTCCAGCTCTTTTACTACTGAGCCCCGAAAGGTCTCAAAATCCAGTTTATTGGAGTTGCCCTAAAAGATGAAACCTATTTGATATCCTGCTGTGAGGTTATGCAAGTGAATGCAGTCAGATAAGAGGTTGGGGCCAGACTGTAGACCCCATTGCACTGGGAGACCTAAAAAATGTAAAAGCCGGACAAGCACCACCCAATAATGATTCTGGGGTTCTTGATCCCCTAAGGTCACAAAGCCAAAATCAAAATGAAGCATTTTGCAAGATCCTGTTGTCTCTAGATAACCTGTACCAGAGGAAAAGGGATTAGGCATTAAACCCACAGTATTCTTTTATAAATTGGCTTTAGCACTGGACTGTGACAACAAAGAAAAGAATGGTGCAGAACGATCTTTAATGTTTGTGTACTTTGCAGAAAAACGTTTGACAAAGGTATATTCTGCCTAAAGCAAGTACCCAGGTTTTATGATTTAAAACAATGGCCAGATTATAGAAATTTTTCTTGGTAGAGACTCATTCTTACCTTGCCTTTATATATTTTAAACATTATTACTTTAAAAAAAAAATCAACCTAGTCATTGCTAATACCATGAAGACAGTTGAAGAAACAGTTATTCCCTAAATATAACCGCCATATCCTACTATCATCTTTCATGTTGTTTAAAAGTTCCCCTTAGTTCACTGTAGTATCAGCCCCTCGGGAAACAGGAGTATCAAATCCAAAGTATATTTATAATAGAAGAAAAAGATTATGAATACATTCGGGTGTTAATACAGTTTGAGGATTTCTAATGTTTGCTGATGGAAAAGACATCGTGTGTAACTGCATTCAGTCAACATAAAAGAGCTTTGCAAATACTTGTGGGCAGTGATTAATTTAAAAGTTTATGGGCTGTTTGTTTTTCATATGTGTGCTGTACATGAACCATGTACATCCCAAGCAGTGTTCCTTACTTCCTATCTTTTTGCACACTTCTCCAGCTATGTTTTATTATCTTTTGTTGTGACTCTCAGAGAGAAAAGCTGGTTATTAATTTCATTTAAAAGGCTAGTGTCATTCTCATATTCTGCAAATAACTAACCCTGATAAGGAGGTAATTATAAACAGCATCAGTAGTTAATAACTCAGTAATATGTTTGTTTTTCTCTCATTAGGCTTGTCCTAGGATTTTTTTTTTAAAAAATTCTTTAAATACATAGATTCAGCAGAATCATCTGTGTACAGGTTAGAAAATGTGCCCAGAAGAATAGCCTAGATTTACATACAGAGAAGTTCATCAATTGATCAATATTTGTTCATGCTGTACCAATATTAATTGGTCACCTGCTCTGTGGCAGGCACTGTAGTAAGTGATTTACATACCTGATCTGATTTAATCTTCACAATAGTCTTACAACATAGACAGTCTTGCCATTTAAACAGTGGAGCAACAGTAAGCTCGGAGAAGTTAAGTAACTTGCGCAAAGAGGTAGTCCTAGTAAATGGCAGAGTCTCCTTTCAAAGTTTGGTCTGTTGGAACCTTGAAAACGTGCTCTTGCCACACAGAATTCTCCTAGGAACAGGGCTGATGCTTTTAGTAGGAAACAATAGAATATGAGGCCCTAAGAAAGGAGTTTCTAGCATCTACTCTTCCCTGACCCTTAGCATTTGCTATCTTGAATTATTCTTACCATCTTTTAGGTACGCACAGGTTCTGCCTCCCATCTGGAGTGTACGTCCCTTGAATGAGTGTCTAACTCTAACTCTTCCAAATCGGCAATGAACATTATTAAATGCCAAGGATATTGTCCTCAGCACTGTGCGTATAAGGTCAAATAAAAGGGGCTTTATAATCTAGTGGTAGGTACTGACAAGCAAATGGAAATTTTCAATTCTGGGTACTATGAACACTCAGTAAAGCGGCATCTTGTGGTCTTACACATAGCAGATGGGACTTACACATAGCAGAAATTAAGCAAATACTTGGAAATAAGGTAATATTCTTACCTTAATTTTTAGGCAGAATTGCTAGGAATATAAGAACAACTTCCATACACAAGAACAGATAGTGCACCACTCCTTAGGAGAATATTTACCCTCTCTTTTATATATAGATCTTACTGGTACTTTCGTGTTTTCTTCAAATGTTTCTGGGAGAATAGAATCAGTGTGTTAGAAAGTCAAGAGCAAGAAACAAAAATCAATGACTGATTCATTTCTAAAAGTAAGACAGATAAATAAGATTGATTGGTATTAACTGTAAGTTTTGTACCCCTTCAGGGTAAACATCTCCAAAACATAAAAAGGGTAATGTGAAAATTGGGATAAAATACCTTTTTTATTCCAAAAAGCATCATCAAGGTAAATCAGCTGTCAAGTTTGCGAAGTCAATAAACGTCCTGGAAGCCCTCTACCTGTCCTTCCTGGCCTTACTAACTTTTTTCATTCCTGATCATTCCTCTCTTCCATCCTGCGCCTCCAACTTCCAGACACTTACCTTAAAGTCCTTGCTCTCAAACTAAGACATTAGTTAATAACTACAGAATCTTTCGACTTTAGGATTTAATACCTGCTTGGGGTATTTGCATTTTATTGGAGGGAACCGAGGAAATCAAATGCTTTAAAAACTCAGAAAAATATTAGTAATGGGAGAATGATGGACAATGGAGTTGGCCTTTGAGGTCAGATTTCATTGAATCATGATACTTGGATGAATCTTTGTCAGATGCACTCATATGGTTGTTTTTAAGTCAATAGCCAGAAAAAAAAATAATTTCCCTGCAGATCTTACAGCTCCATCAGAATATACAGGCCTCACCTTTTATTTGCCAGGGTACTTGAGGGAAATATTTATTTTTTTCCAATATATATTCTTCCTATATCCTAGGTGATTTCAAGTGGCTTTCCATTTTAAAACACAGCAGATAGTATTAAATATGGAAATAGAGGCCAGAAACTATATGAAAAGATAGGAGAGGTTGTTATATTAGGAACCCGAACCAAGAGTTATGCTTAAGTTTAGCCTTGAGCTTCCTGGTTGCCAAGGCAAGAAGGGAAACAATATATTATATAATTTGCATTTTTGAATGAAAGAAAACAGAGTAAATCCATTCAAAGAGACCGTATTTTTCTGGTTATATATTATAGGGAATTTTTTGTGTATACCCTCTTATAAATGACTTCCATTAGATGTTGTTTTACATAAAATACAGAAAAGTTCTCAAGTGGCTATTTTTCATTGAACTTCAAGGAAAGCCAAGGAAAGAATATTAAACAAGCTATCAAAGGCATTTCCTTTGAGTATGAAGCTAGTGTAGTACAGTTATGTTACTTTCCTGTGGTCTGGCTTTAATGGGAATAGAACTTAATGGCTGAGAATACTGGAATGCCAACATTAACAATTAGAGTTTCTTGCCTTAAATTGGGCCCTGTACATTTTTTCATTCAGATTGCTGCTATCATTTCTTAACTCTCTCCTTACCCCTAGGCTCCATCCCCTTCCTTTCCCTTTGCCTTTCTAAATCCATCATCTGTACAATCACCAGAGTCACTTTTCTAAACTGTAACTCCTGTGTCACTCCCTGTTTAGACTGTGCCAGGGAGTCTCCATTGCTTATGGGATAAAGTCCAGACATAGGGTATCTTCTGTAACCTCCACCCTCCTATCTTGCTGCGCCCCTCCTTCCACTTCAGCCGCCCTCAACAGCTGGCAATTCTCCGAATGTATCACACTTTACTCCTGATGTTGCTTCTGCCTGATATGCACCTCCCTCCTGGGGGTGATGTTCAAAATATCTGATAACCTGTGTGACAGGAGCATACCAATTAGAACAGATGCTTCCTGCTGCAGAGCTGGGGCTAGGTCCTGGAATGCTCCTGAGGTGCCAGACATTAACCCTTTAGGTTTGGGACTGTGAGGGTGTCCTGGGGCAAAGAAGGGGAGGAAAAGGTTGGAAGCAACGTGTGGGGCTCGAGACAACGACAGTTTACCAATTGGTAAAGAAACATTTCGATATTTTGAAAACCAAAATGGCTGCCCATGTGGTATGTCAGCTGAATGACAGCCTACCTCTGCCCTTCCCTTCTTTCTTTCCTGTCTCCTCGACAGTCTTAAAGACAGCTCAGGAGCCATCTCCTCTAGGAAGTCTTTCACGACTCCCAGGCTGGCCTGTTGTTGTTTCCTTCCCCTGTGGTGTGACCTCCTGTGCCTATACAGGGTTCCATCATGATACCTGCATTTCTCTTTTGCACGGTCTTAGTTCCCTCTCTGCCTCAGTCCATGGAGACAGGGGCCATGTCTGACTCTTCTCAGACTTAGCACTTAGCACAGCACCTGGCATGCAGGATGTGCACAACAGGTATTTGATGAATGAAAAACATTTGAAAAATTCTGTACCCTGACACACGAGGAAGAGACTTCCCAACAAGCATTCTCGCTAGCCATGAAATCCACCCATTCTGATAGCATGTTGGTGGCTTTCTCAATTAAGACAACTAGAATGAGAATAGCAGCAGGGTAGCATTTTACTACTTTTTTACCCCTGAAGCCTCAAACTGGGAAAAGAATTCAGCCCTTCAACTGGAGGAAATGAGATACATTGTGGAAATTTCTCTGAAAGTCTCTCCAAAAAAAAAACATCCCTACCCTGGTGGGATAAAACTTCATTTTGGTAATCTCTGTATAGAGGAAACGCATAGAAGTCATTGGGCCACTCTTTCCATGTCCCTCATTCCCACGGGGCAATGCTCTCCTTCCTCCTATTTTTATCTGTTTTGCTCACTGTTTTATCTGTAGTGTGTAGAGCAAGACCTGGACTAGCTGTGCAGTAAATATTTTTTTGAACGAATACTCCATGTGGAAGATGGGCAAATGTGGCGGAAAAAAAAAAGGCAATCCAATCTTGAAGGATCGTGAGCCCTGCTTTTTAATCCTTTCTGGGGTTCCAGCAGGGATTAGACTGATGTCTAGGTACATTGCTGACGGCCAGGCCCCAGCCACTGCCTGTGGAGACAGGAAATACGTGGGCTCCCTACCAACACTTCCAGGTGGAGACAGGAGCGGCAGCCAGCCACCGGTTCCTCAAAAGGAAAAAAGAATAGGATGTGGCAGCAGCAGCAACTTGAGTGACAATAAAAATCAAACCCAGGCACTTGGAACAACGCAGACCCAAGACTTTGTTCTACATCCAGTGACTCACCAACCTGAACAAGAGCCTGAAAAGAGTCCTGGAACTACAGAGCTGCCCAATTACTTCCTCCCCTGGCTTTCTTTCAACCAGAGGTGCCGTGTCCGAGCGAAAGGTGATTTGTATTGCTTTTAAACGTGGACGCATTTCTTGTTTCAGCTCCACAAAGCGCCTCAAGTCTGTGGAGGACGAAATGGACAGTCCTGGAGAAGAGCCATTTTATACAGGCCAAGGACGCTCCCCGGGAAGTGGCAGTCAGTCGAGCGGGTGGCATGAAGTGGAGCCAGGTAAGCAGGGCGGGGTGGCACGTGGCCAACGCTGGGAAATGTGTGTGGGGTCCCGTGCGATGCATGAGAGTGAAGAAAGAAGGGTTAGGTAGTTGACTTTTTCAAGATGAACTCTGGTTTGCATTGTGATCCTATTGCCACGTGATAAAAGGGTGGCCTGCAAAGCAGTGATTCAACTGAAACGAACGACGGGGGAGAATTTTTTCACCTACACCACAATCCAGCATGTGGTTTGCTTTTGTTTTTGTTTTATACTATCTTTTGCTTTAGTTTTTTGAATTATCTTTTAGTAATTATAACAAATACCTATCAACTTTTTCAGCTGGATTGATAACATTAGAAAGGTAAATGGGTTTCTTATGCTACAGTTTATACTTGGGATTTTCATATAATGAGGACACTTTGCAATATTTTTTCCTATCACTGGGTATCATCATGATTGTTTTTCTATTTAAATGGGACAATTTTCTTTATTCCCAACTGTACTTGACTAAGCAAATGATGACTGCTGGTTCTAACCTCCTGGGGTAGTCTAGTCTTGGCTCTGGAGTCTTGAGAGTAATATGAATAATTCTGATAGCAAAAGCTTGTTGAAATTTTTATCAATGTCTGACTCCATGTGGGTAAGAGGGAACCTTCTCCAATGCCTTCCCAAATATGACAAGTCAAATGGATGTAGAGGATAGAGTGTGGGCTTTGGAATCAGACAGACAGAGTGTAATCCTGGCTTCAACTGCTGTTGGCTGTGTGATTGTGGGCAAATTACCTAATCTCTCTGAGCCTGTGTCTCCATTTTTATAATCTGACAGTAGTAATAGCTATTTCAATGTTCTTGAGGATTAAATAAGGTAACATTCACAACCCTTCTAAGAATTATACCTAGCATAGAGTAAGTATGATGAAAATGTTCTCTGGCCATCCTTCCCCACCACTGCCTCACAGTAATTCCTGCAAGAACAGACAAGCACCAGGAAAATCTCTGAACCAACCCCTTCCTCTACACATCTCAGCTCCCTTCTCTCCTGCCTATCATTTTTTCAAAAGACAACCCCCAGAGGGTGTCTATAAAGGTATAACGTGAGGGAGATTTGGGGGGTGATAGTTCTTTATCCTGATTGTAGTGGTGGTTACCATAATCTATAGAAATGCTAACATTCACAGAAGTATATACCTTTCCCCCTCACCCCCAGTTAGTTTTACTGCATCATAATTAAAAACGAAACAAAACAAAACACCTCAAGCCCCACTGGTTGGGTCTTTTATCTTGCTCCCTTTATTAAATGTAAACATTTCTCTCTGCCTTGCTTCCATTTAACACCTGATCTTCTCCCTCGACTCATTCATTCATTCACTCACTCAACGGTCTCCACTGGGAACTTTCTCTGTATGAGGCATTAGGCCAGGTTCTGGCAACTCAGGGATGCACACGAAGGTTATGGCCCCAGCTTTCAAGGAATCACAAGCAGGGGTGGGAAACAAACACATAAACAGATCGTTATGCAGTAGTATAGAAGTGCAGAGATGCTGATATTAGCCTCTGTGCCTTCTTTTTCTATTTATTACCAACACAACACTCAAGGTGTGGTGGTTCTTCAACGAAGGTCACACATCAGCTGTACTCCACACTTGTGGAGTTTGCCTAAAGTGGCTAAGAAATAAACCCAGGCCTAAATGAGCATGAAAATGCTGACTGCTCCTTGCCATTAACCGCATCGTCAGCATGACCTCAGTATAGTGCAGATGAAAAGTTTATGTGCTATTAAAAAATTATAAGATGTAAAACTTCTTTGAACCCTTTTTGAAAGGCTAATTAGAGTCCTAGCCAATTTACCTGCTTCAGTGCAAATCAGAATCAAATATACATTTGTGCTTGATTATTGTATGCGTGCATTTTTGTGCATATCGCAGCTGCTCTCTTAGGTTGATGTACAAGAAGCTCCTCCTCCGTGAGGCTGTGGTCCTTACATGGACTTCTTTTAGGTATATTTGGGGGCAGTGGGGTTTGGTTTAATATAGGGTACTTCAACCTAGTGAATCTTTTATTCAGAGTAATTCCTATTCCTCTCTGTACATTATGGTGCAAATAGTCATAAATTTTAACATCTGAATGTTTCTATCTTTTGTAGTCATTAAATAACTAAAGTTTAGCGGCTGGATCCTTTTTAAGAGACGTGTGTATATGTATTTTCTTTTTAAAGAATCTCCCACAATTATATTCCCGACTGATTCTCCATTCTCTTTCCCCATTTCATTAAAAAAAAATGCAGTTTCATGGTATATGTTTGTGGGAGGTGGGAGAGGACAGTGGATAAATTTACATTTGGCCATATTCAGCATAGAAAGTCATAATTGAAACAGGGCCTGAGGGGACATTAAAACTCAACTGAAGGATGTTGCACATGTTCATGGTGACTTTGGTGTCATTAACTCACGCCAGCCATTTTAAATGGATAATTTATGCTGCCAGATGGTCCTTTTTGGGGACTTTCCATCAAGCCCAATCCCCTTTTTGGCACAGAAAACACCTTTATGTTGTTCCCACACTTATCCCGGCCTGCATAGCTTTTCCCCAGGGGTACAGTTAATTGAGTAGGAGGCTTTTAGTGGTTCTCTCATGTAAATTACCTTCAGGAATATGTTGGGAGTTATGTATATCTGAATGCACCGGCAGCTTCTCGGTTGCCCACATTTGGGATAATTCTTTCAAACAAGGACTAAGGATACTTTGTTTATGCCTCAGATGTCACACAGGAAGCAAGACCTGTACTTACTCCCCACTCAGAGAGCTTTGCATCTGTTTACCTGCCCTCAAATGCTTTTTCAGGACTCCCTGGCCAAAAGAGGGCTGAAGGTTGCCAGAAGAGACAAATTTCCTAGAGCAACAGGAAGACTTTGGAAAGTAAAACAAACCAGACATGCAGTAAATTACACGGGCTCTTTCAGATGTCTTTTGTAGTATCCTGTTCCGCATTAGTTATCTCAGCACTTTCAGTGCACAGCTCTTATTATCTGGAAAGGCGGGCATAGGAGATTAAAGATGATGTTAGTTTAAAAACATCAGACAACCTCAGGCTGACTTTTGCTTCTCTTACAATGCTGCATTTGTTTCTTCCACTTAGTTTCATTTCCCAGTTATCTAAAAACTGGGTTAGAGTCTAAGCTTTGAAGCTAATCATGAACTGATGAAATGAGTCTATGAAATTCTGTCAAGCAAAAATGCATATACCATCAACTCTTATCTATCTCTACAAATGAAAAGTTGCAGAGAAACTGATAATGCAAATCAATAGGAAAGAAACCAGCAGGCAGGTGCCTACATTGGGTCAAACACTGTTGGTTCTTTCATATATAGGGTAAAATTCTAGTTACGACCGAGTACCCTACTGTGTACCAAGTTTTTAAAAAATTAATCTCCCTTAAAATATGCAATATATAATAATTCTACCTCTACAGAGATGAAAACTAAGAATCATAAAAGGTTAAGTGAGTTGCCCAAGCCCACACAGATAGTAAATCTGTGGATCTGCAATCTGCAAAATTTGATTCAAACCAAATCTGACTTCAGAGCATAAGTTTTGTCTTCTATACTCAATAATCTCTTTTACTATAAACGTTTACACTTGCATTTTAGGGTCTCACGTCCTAGACTTGTACTTAAGGTAAAACATAATAACGAAGAACAGTAAAGAACTCATCAGAAACACCTGAAAATCCCCTATTTTCCTTATCCTAAATGCTTACCATACAGCCCACTCCAGGGAAAGGCTATAGGTTATTAAATACACATAGGATACAATATAGAAACAAAGAGTATTAACTGTTAACAAAGCAAAATGTCTATCATTTTCACCCATAAAATCATAATAGTCATTGGCATTCAGGTCATCTTCGTTCGAATAATACTTCATCAGGGAGACACTCCGTGATCTAAAGTAGCTGCTGCCCTCTCTCTGTCATCCTATAATTCACAACCCTGCTTTCCATTCTTCATGCCTTTTTCCACTGTTATTGTCTATTTTCTCCCTGTGGGATATACACTCCATGAACAGTGGGACTTAGTCCGTCTTTCCCACTGCTATGTCCCTAGCATCCATAACAGTGTCTAACATGTAATAGACACTCAATAGGTATTGATTGATTGAATGAATGAAGCCATGGAGCAGAGAATTTTGGGTGTTCTCAACAAACTTGAAAGCAGAATGTGCTACCAATAATCTTTTCAGAATTGGCATTTACTATATTTTCAATTTGGAGGCTTTCAGTCAAATCCAATTAGTAGCAAGTAGCAAGCAAAACGATTGCTAAGGCCCAGCCAAGAGCCCCATTGACTGGTAGCTATGCATCAAACTTTATTGCAAGTATCCCTCACCTTGAAGGGTGTTCCTTTAAGTGACTCAAACTTTTTTTAAAAAATAATTTTGTTATTTTTAAAGATAATTCTTTATTATGAGCTCTATGTTAAAAATTCCAACAATGAAGCCTTTGTAGAATGTTTTGTGTAGTTTAGACAACTTCCCTGATTTACCTGTGAAAAATTTCATATTTTCGTAACAAATTTTCTCTTATACAAGTATAAGGAACAGCCATATGAGACGCTTCAGACCTTTGCTACTCAAAGTGGTCTGAGGACCTGCAACATGGCGTTGCCTGGGAGCTCATTAGAAATACAAAAACCTCAGACCCCACCCAGACAGACAGAATTTTAACAAGCTCTCCAGGTGATGCCTATGCATGGTAGGGTATGAAAAGTACTGATTTAGGTTGCCCCTTTTTTCCTTTAGTTGGGCTCTCACTACTCAATACTTGTCTGGAAGCCACCTTAACTTTAAATGTCGTGTTCCCCACCACCTTACTTTAAATATTGTGTTGTGTTCCCTAACCTTTTTCCCTATGTTAAGTAGCAATGTCTTTAAACTATTCTAGATATGCAGAAATCTAACCTATTTTCAAATGGATCAGAGAAGATTATACTCTGGGTGACTCCAGGTACCTCACTACAA